ACAACGTGAGAATTGAATTAATTGAATGAGAATTATATCTCTAGTGAAACTGGAGTAAATAAGTTTGAATGAAATGTGGCAAAAGTGCATATAATTTAATATTCCATGCAAGGAAGTCATGGTATACACATCATATTTTTTTTTCATCCTGCAATAACTACTCCCCTTTTCTAATCAAAGGGTGATTATGTACAATAATGCAAGGAAGCATTTCATGATGTTTTATCAGAACACCCTCTATAGTTCGTGTGTATACACACCTCCATCCCTTATCAGAAGTTGTAGTAGTAGAAATTGCCAAATTATCATAATATGCCAAATTTTGACAACCATGCACATAAACATTTTTCAGTCAATCATACTCGTAACCATCTTTTAATTTCTCTTTATGTTCATTTTGTTGTATTCCAAGTTCTAATAGTTTTTATAGACTAAGAATTATATTTTTTTACCTTAAATTCAGTTTTAAATAATTCACTTTTGGAATTTGCCAGCAATGAAAGAAACTCCAGTAAAATTTTTGCAGAAACACAGTATTTTGTTGCTAAACACTAAAAGGAATAATGATGAGATGCATTTGGAAGATAGCCTGCTAGCAGAGCTGAAGGTGTGAGGGATGCTAGGTTTGTGCAGTTATCTGATGTTTTTTAAAGGAAAACACATTGCAGTGTACATGGAGGGAACAGAGTAAAAATGATTTTATGGAAAACATATGTTTTATTTATTTTTTTTATGCCACATACATAGACCGCATTTAATAATTAAAATTTGTATTTCAATTCAATTTTCAAATTAAAATTTGCATTTAATAATTAAAATTTGTAGTAATGTTTATAGACTTAGTTTGAGATTTTTTTTAAAAAAAAAGTCATGAAAATCACCGACTTGCACCTGATAAGTAATTTGTATTGGTGTTTATTTTTAACTTCATGTATAAAAAATTGTGAAATTTTGCAAAGATGGTTGTTAATACATAACTACTTTTCATTTGACCTGAGTTATGTTAACCTACTGTATACATTTGCAAATTTTTATATGATAATTCAAGCAATGTTTAATCAGTTAATATTCATATTTAATTTTGTTTACTTCAATATATGGAAAATTACCAATTTATCCATACAATACGCTGTGAATTATTATTGTTTTCATTATATTTAAAAGGACTTCGGTAAAAGAAGCTTTTCTTCGCTTTTCAGGTTTTCTCAGTTAGTTTAAAAATATAAAAAAATTGAAAAATGAAATTAGCCAAACAACATAAAATTTAGAATAGTTTGTTAAATGTTAATATATTTTTCATGAGAATCCAATTACAAATAGAATTCACTCTGAAACATTATAAAATGAATTGAAATAAGTTTCACGTTCCTTTAAAATGGTGTCACTTCACTGTGTGACTGTGATCTTATTTATTGCAACAACTTAAACTATTATGACACTTTGAATTGCACAAGAGGCCGTTGCTTTTACAACTGCGTTTATTTGTGGAACACTTGCTTTTGCAATGACAGCATGTACATATACTCCTTTCTTTTTCGACCTACACCAGAGCATATCTGTGATTGTCGACATACACTGGTGAGGGTCCAAATGTACAAGAATGTAATGCAATACTCGATCTTTCGCCGACATATTTGGTGAATGTTGACATTCTCCGGTGAAAGTCGACATTCTCCAATTTCAGTCTTTCATGGTACATATATATCTATTCCATATAAAGATAATTTTTCTGCAGCTTTATGCACAAATACTAGGTATGTTTGTGTTTTGTTTTCAAAAGAATTGTTTTGTAATTATATATCCATATGGATATATTCCATTTTGCTCCTATCCATATTGATATATCATTCGTATTGATCTATTCCACATTGCATACATCAATTGAATTATATATTGTTGTGAATTAAAACAAATGCCAAATACTATATTGCTGTCAGTTCTGTTAGCACACCTATTTTTCTTTTCTTTTTTGTATTTTCTGTTGTCAGTTTTGTTTTAACTAATATTTGCAGTGTAATTTTCCCATCAGTATGCGGTAAAAAAAAATGTCTGGTGAGAAAGTGGCTAGCGTGTCGCACAGCTGCCCTATAGGTCAGGGGTTCGATCCCCGGGCTGGGATAGGTTGACTTGGCCTTTCATTCCTTGAGTGGGTCCATAAAATGAGTACCAAGTTTGCTTGGGGACTAAATACTGGGGGTCCTGCGACAAGCTGACCACTTGCCCAGGATGTATGCTGATGCACTCCGAGGCCCAAAGGTCAAGAAAGCATAAAAAGACACTGCAGGCCGTGGCCCACTAGGGCTGTTGCACAACTAAGTTTAGTTTAGTATGCAATAAAAAAGCTTTTTCTTCTTAAGACATAGGCTGTTTAAGCCTGTGAATAATCAGAATTTGATTGCATTTATTATTTTTTTTAATTAGAATCTAGAGAATCAAATTTTAAATCTTTGTCAAGATTTATGGAATTTAAAGACTCAATGTTCTATCCATAATTTATTTGTCAATAACCCTGCAGGTACAAAAGGTGTTTCAGAAAGATTATATAACCGAATATTTTTTGAGTGGTTGACAGTAGATCTATGGTTCCATCTTAAGAAGTCAATCAGGCTAGATAAGAACTCTCTAGATAAGACTATTCATACTGATGCTTCGATGCAAATGTGAATTGCAGTGGTCGGTTTTCTGAGTTGTATCATGGTTTTACTCTTGTGTAACATAAATACAAGTTTAGTAAGTTTTCCATGAAGATTTCCATCTTCTTCTGTAGTCAGGTAGCCCTTGTATACTTTACCATAATCAGTTTAACAACAAATGACATAGTTAATTAAATAACATTGTTTTTAAAACTATGACAGTTTCGATAATGTGACATTTTTTAAAATTATAATTTTATGTAGAGAAGATTTCACTTATTCTGTTAAAAACAGACAACACACATACAAAAACAAGTAATATATAAAAAAATTAAAGTCAATTCCTACTTAGGTCAACAAAGAAAAATTTTATTTTGGTTACTTTTTATCAACATTTTTTCGTTTCTAATTTATGAAGCTGATGGTGGTTCATAATTTCTCATTCCATCCATCTCTTGTAATGCTTCATTATTGCAAGGAACCTTTCCAGTGAGTTTTGTGCAGTCCAGTTCTTCAATTAATATTCCATTTAATGATTTCACATGACTCAAGGCGATGTATGCTTGACCTGCTGCAAAGAGTTTTCATCCTAGATATTTTACTATTGAATTTTCGCTACATGATGGGACATTACATCCACTTCATCCAATTCTATAAAACTACAATTCTTTAATTCCATATACTTTAAAAATCTTTAGAACTCTGTCTTACTGTTGCTACTTATTTTTGTTAAATATTACAATCCCATTTATCAGAGTCATGTACTATTATTTATTTATAAGTTGTTATAAAATTCATTTTTACAGTACGTGAGAATTCCTAACAAACGGTCATTATTTGAAAGTCTTAAAAATAGCATATCTTAAGCTCCGATAAACTGGAATCAATAAGTAGGAATTGACTTTAATATGTGAAAATACTGTATTAACATCAAGTGTCATCCACTACTAGTTTAAAAAAACGTATTTTAATTTGAGTGGATGAATAAAAAGTATTTTATAAATGATTGAAAATTTGAACAAGATATAGGGAAAGTGTGATCTAATAGTAGGAGTTTAAAAAAAAGCTTTCTGACAGTTCTTAAAATGTGCAATTTATGGCAATTTTCCTTGAAAACAAACCCTATGGAATGTTGGTTTTTTTGGGACTTTAAAAAAATTAATTATATCAAGTATTTTTTTTTTTTAAGCATTTCTGAAAATGGGACTTTGAAACCTATATTTGAATATTGTATTTGTCTGAGATAACACACTTCTTTTAGAAGTTTGCAATTAGAAACTGACTAGTTGTATTATCTATAACATTGCATATTGTATTCTGAAAAATGTAATTAACTGTGTACCAAAAAAATTCTGATTATATGAGGATTTTTTCATGAATAAATAAATATGACTATTTTTTTATTATTCAATTTATGAAAAACTTCTCTTGTTCTCGTTTGACAGTAGATATAAACAAACAAATAATAACTCTCGTCAGTAAAAAATGCATTATGTAACAGTTATACCAAAGGAAGTAATTTAACATGTACAATTTCATTGTCTAGGAATCATTTAGAAATAATAGTTTAGAACCCTGGCCAGTAAGAGTGACATTTACTAAAATATCTAACTTGAATCTCCTAAACAGTTAAAAATCTTATTAATTTTCCTTTACAAGTTTTTAGCTCAAACAGATGTATTCGTGTTAGTTAAAAAAAAATCTTTCCGAAGCAAATTGAAAATTTCACTCCTCCTTTTTTTCTTATTCTTGTATTAAGGTAATTGTATTTTTCAATGATCCCCCTCCCTTTTCCCTTAAATTGATCATTTTGAATTTGAAGGTATTTTTTGAAATAAGACTGGCAACAACAGAAAATATTTAAATTAAAAAAAAAAAAAAAAAACTATTGTCTTCTATGGAACAGCATGGAGAGAATTAACATTTCTGTAAATTGAGCATTAAAACATATTTAAATTTTAAAAAAAATATTGTCTCCTGTGGAACAACATGGAATGAATTAACATTTATGTAAATTGAGCATTAAAACCTATCTAATTTTTTTTTTATAAAAAATGTTCCCTTTGGAACTACATGGAATGAATTAACATTTCTGTAAATTGAGCATTAAAACGTATTTAAATTTAAAAAAAATATTGTATCCTATGATGCAACATGGGATGAATTAACATTTCTGTAAACTGAGCATTAAAATCAAACTAATTAAAATTATAGTTCCTGCCATTTTTAGTACTTTGCCATAGAAACTACTTGTCATGCTTTATGAAAATATTCCTTTTTCCCCCCCTGTATGTGTGTGATGATAATACCTTAGATTATTAACAAAACAAAGTTTTAATTTTTTTTTTTTATCTGTATTTTGTGCAGCTGACTTCAATAGCAGAAAAGGATAAGGATATGGTTCCCATTGGTAAAACGGCATCAGAGGTAAGTATAAAATTATGCACTCATTAAATTTGCTACAGTAATGTAAATTTCAGTAACAATATATTTTTTAAGTTCTTGAACTAAGTAATTATTGTTGTTTTGATAGCACAAAATTGCTGTAAATCGAAATGAATGTGTAAAACAGTTTGTACGCTTCTCTGTCAATTTGTTTTTTTAATTAAGCCTTGTGTATATCGTGTTAATATATTTCTAATGAAAATATGTTTCAGTTCATTCACAAATTGCCATGGTTACATTCAGAGATAGAAAATATGGTCTTGATATTTAACCAAATCATTTGTGAAAATACCATTTTGTAGACATTATTATATTATTTGTTTTTAAGACAAACTAAAACTTCTTTCTGCTTAATGCTAGATTTCAGTAAGAATATTTAGAGTTTGTAGGGTGACACATTATTTTGTAATGCTAAATTGGTCCAATAATCCTAACAGGCACGAAGCAAATTTTCACTGTCTGACACAATGACAAAGTCGTAAGAAGATTAAAAAATAACCTTTTTATTTAGACAGAATTTAGAACACAAAGGCACTCTTGTGTGCTATAAAATAAGTCATAATTTTTGATGCAACTAAATAGAACAGTCAAATTTGAGTTAAACATTGAACAGTAATTGAGGACGACACACACTGCTCTTCATTATTATTATTTGTTACTTTGGAATAAAACAAAATATTGTCAATTATTTCATAATTTGCTTCTCTGTTTCTCATTCCCATCATATTGTATTCAGAAGTGATCAGGATCTTTCAGATGCGCATAAATATTTTTAAATTCTGAGTCTGTTTGTAGTTTTTAAATAACTTTTTCTCAAGAATCTCATATTTTCAAAGTCAACATTGCACACTTCAAATTGTTTCCCTCATCAACTAATTTAATTCTTGATGAGGCATCTGCCACAACATTTTCTTTTCTGGGAGTGTGTTTAAATGTTAAATTATATTCTTGGGATTTAAAGACCCATTGTATGAGGGTGGTAGATAAATTCTTTCCGAAATGCAAACGATCAACAGCTGCATAGTCTGTATACGTATTAACCAGTGCCTTATCAAAATACACTCAAAATTTCTGTGTTGCCAAAAAGACTGCAAACTTTTGCCTCCTGGTAGTGTTATTATTTCTTTGAACTGGTTAAGTGTCTCCGTAAAATATGCAAATGGTTGTCCAACTTTCATAAGCATGGCTGCTACCACAAAATCCGATGTATCTGTGGAGATTTCTAATTTGCTGTCCGCTTCAGAAAATTTCAAGATGGAAGCTTGAATTGATGTTGCTTTATATCTTTTGAATGCCGTGTCTGCTTTCACCACCAAGTGAACCTGGCTTTTTTTTCTTTTTAAGTTTAATTGTATGCCTGCTATATGAGCAAAATCTTTAATGAAAGTCCTATAATAGAAGCACAAACCAAAATGTTAGGGCAGTTTCTTGCTGTATTAAGCAAAGGATAATTTTTCATTAAGAATGTGCTGTTTCAATTTCCATTGGAGATATATTGTAGCCAAGGTAATGAAGTTCTTTGGTGACATTTACCTTTAAATCTCTTTTTTTTTTAGAAGCGAAAAAAGAAAAACTTAGGAATATATGAATCCTAATGAATAAACATATGAATCTTGAATGTATTCATCAATTGTATTTCTAGTAACTATTATATTGTGTAAGTAAATTAATATAAATTTTATGAGGACAGACTTTGGAATAATATCCATAGCTCTTTGAAACATAGCAGGTACTCTGCATAATCTAAATGCCATTCTAAGAAAGGCGTTAACTCCCGATTTGGTAAAAATGTGCTTTTTGACACATGCTGTGGTTTCACACATATCTGGAAAGTATCCAGAGATAAGGTTTAGCATTGTTATGTATTTGTGGATTTTATTTTTTTTGAATGATTTCTTGATTATTAATTAATAAGAGATAAACTGTACATTTTGTTATGCTATTTAGTTTTCTATAGTAAGTAGCAGAATGCCATGTTTTAAAATTTGTAGGTGGGAGATTATTTTGTTTTCGGCTTCTAAACACACTCCTCGAGCTTTGCCTACTTTTGAACTTCACATCTAGCTTCAGTAACCACTCTAGCATACTCGAGTTTCATAATTCAACAAAATCCTGAATTGGAAGGAAAAACCTGGGCAATATTATTTAGATAATCTCTGCATCCCCCCTTTTCCCCCCATATAATAAATTCACTACTTGTATTTTCCTTGCATTCTCTTAACTCTTACCTTAGTTTGATATCTGCCTAACAGTTTCGCTTCTCATTTCACCCTATTTTTCACCACTGGGAATGCTTTTTACAAGGGCAGTTTTGAATATGTCAAATTTGTAATTCTGACTGCCTGGTTCATTCAACAAAAATCTACCAATGCCTTTGTACCAGCTCAGTGCCTATTCTCAAAGCACAGTGGTTGTTATCATGATCTTTTTTACTTCTGCGACTGGATAAAGTAGAAAGTCAGAATCTAATTTTTCCAGGTCACTGGCAAACTTCTGCCATAAACAATATTTGCTAGTTTCATCGCATCTAAACCTGAAGCCTTGCATTAGACTTCCTGTTGCCAGTTGAGTCTACAGTCTTGGGGGGGGGGGAAGTGAGGTAGACTAAATGTTGCATTATCTTGTGACATGATTTATAATTTGTTGTTCGGACACCACTTGTATGGTTGCACTTTATCTGGTAGTGCTAAATTGGTCTAGTAACCCAAACTGGTGTTTTTTTTCACTATGTCTGAATGGTTAAAAGTAATCTTTTTTAAACAGAATTTAGAAAACAAAGGCTCTCTTGTGTGCTACAAAATGAGCCACAACTCCTGGTGATGCGACTAAATACAACAGTCAAATTTAAACTAAAGGTTGAATAGTAGTCAAGGACTTTATGATCAAATATTATTAGAAGCTGGCTCACTACTCCACTGGAGCGATAGAATGCAAGGTTGAATAATTACAGTTATTAGAGCTGGCAGAAAACTAAAAAGTGCAGCTTCTATGCGATGCCAGAAACACACGCATGTCTTAAAATTAAAAAACCTCAGTTTAAATACTGTTTACTCATTTGCATTCTGGTGACAAATATGGAAAGGAAAGGCTGAAATTATAAGTAACTGGTTAATTAACATGAAACTCTCTTCAACTTAAAAAAAAAAAAAAATTAATCATGGCCAATATATTGTTAGCCCAAAGAGCATTCGCCTAAAAGGGCTATTAATTTCAAAACAGCATTTTGCGTCGATTCACTTTTCAAACTGTTGCCACCAAATATTATATTTAAAGAAACTAAATAATGAAGAATCTGCATGAATGCCTGAGTGTTTCTTGCATTTTGAAGAAACAACAGTACCTAGAGCCATCAAATTTTGAATAACATAGCCCTCCAACTGAACATGGGCACTTGGAAGCCTGAATTTTGAATCTGCTTTATTATCTATTTCAAATTTTGTAAATTTTAATGAATTTTTTATTAACAAACTCGACTATTTTAAAGTGAGCAATGGCAACACTGTACGCAGAAAACATTTTTATCTCCTGCGCGCAAGACTGTGTATCGGAAACTCTAAAGATATGCTGTTTTTAAATATTTTGCTATATTGCTGTTGAATTGAATTTTCTTTGTTTTAAAGTGAGAAGAACATGCTATTTAATAAATAAAGGTAACACACAAAATGCTAAAAAAAACACCCTTCTGGGCATAATGTGAAATCTTCAGTTTTGTTTTGTTTTGTTTGTTTGTTTGTCATTTTTGAATCATTTACTCATTGTATTTTCATGTTATATATTTTTTACAATTAAATGTCTATGGTTATTACTTTTCATTTTAAAACATTTGTATTATAAAAGGGAATTGCAACACGATTGTGTATGATATACGGAAAAATAAAGAAAAGCTGTTGAAATTTTACAGCAACAGTGATTCTAACACCAGAATCCGAAACCGGAAATCTTTGCATGAGGCGAAATCGTATTTATTTTGCACTTTGAGTCTGAATATTATGATTTTCTGTTCCGAAATTCGCAAAATCCTAAAATCCGCTTAACCTCTGGTCCCAGGCTTTATGGATTTCTAGACTTCTACTGTATAAGCAAGATTTTTTTAATATAGAAAAAGTTATGTAGAATATTTTTTAAATATTTGCTTATACTATATCATCTGATACAAGGTAATTTATTTCAGCATTTTGATGAAGATGAAGAGGATGAAGAAGATGATGATAATGATGACGATGAGAGTGAAAGCAATGAAGAGGATGATGAAGAACTTGATGCAGAGATGAATTACGATCAAGATACTGAAGTAAGTTTAACTGTATATATTTAATTTATAGCGTAAAGTTCAAATTTATGAAAAATTATGTTATAGTATGATGGGGAATTTCATGTGAGAACCATAATTGCTATAATATTAAAAAAACTACACTATTGGCCAGGAACTGTAAGGCCTGTCTCAGCTACTATTGTACATAATAATATCTTAATCCGTGTACACACACACACACACACACACACACACACAAAAAAAAAAAAAAAAAAAAATTCTTGGAAATATCTTAGATATCTGTACATCTGAATGTTCATCCTTTTTCTGCAAAGTGAATGCCAAAATGCCAAACTACAGTATATCCCTCTCACAAAAGTTATTGGACAATTTCAAAAATAAGATGCAATTTTAAATACATTAAATGAAATGGTTTTTTTTTTAATATGCATGTACCTAGTCTTCCTTTGATACGAATATTTTTTTCAGAACTTAAATACTGAGCTTATAGAATAAAATCTCTGTAGAATGGAAAAATCATGTCACAAAGTCTTCAATTACTACCGAGACTGCCAACAAAATCATCTACAACAAATACAGTGTGTCATATTATTTTTGCATCAGACTAATGGACAGTATCTTAAAAGTGGTTTCTTTAAATTTTTTGTTAAAGTGTTTTTATCCCAAAGGGGCTATTAATTTCGTTTTGGCATTTTGCATTGGTTCACTATAAAAGTCTGAATCACTTTTTAAATTATTGCCACCGAATATTATCGCCCTGTATTCTATTTAAAGAAATTAAGGTACTTTTCTATTTTGTCGGCGCAAACGATAAGTCACCAATAATGGTACAACTGATGCCAAACGAAATATCTTCTCTGATAACCTTTTTTTACCCTTCATTTTCAAAATAAGTCGCAGCCATTTATCAGATTGATTGTTTCTTTCAATATTGGTATACAATTACATAGAATTTTTACTAGTTAAATTTTATGCCCTAAGACCATTCGCAGTAATTAATTAGGATGCAATCACACCACTCACTCGAAGGCAAAAATATACAAAAGGCAAAATCAAGGGTTCAATTCATCAAATCTAATGAGAATGCACTAGGCGAAGTAAAGCACTGCAGTTTTACATAATTTCTGAGTAAGCTATTCGTACGAATTGAAATAATTCTTGCATTTAAACTTGTATTCCATAAGATTTAATATAAGATTTAACTTGAAATTAATGTAGATAATTACTGAGAGAATTAGATTTTCGTAGCGTAGTTTACGTGAGATGAGATCACTTGGGGTTGCGTGATACGAACCGCCGAATCGGAATGTTGAACCATGAAAGCATAGTAAATTCTTAAATTAATGTCTTTTTTAAAAAAAAAATTATTCGTCTTTCATTTATTTTCAGCTTTTTACAAAGTTTTAAACCGTATTAAAATGGTTATGCCTTTAAAATAAAAAATTCTTAGAACTAACATTTGTTAACATTTTTTATGTGTATACTGTATGCTGTCGCCAACAAAGTCTGCTTGGCGAGATTTGCGCCGGTGAAACGGAAAAGTACCAAAATTAAATAATGAAGAAGCTGCATAAATTGTGTTTCTCACATTGTGATAAAACAACATTACCTAGAGCCATCAAATTTTGAATAGATTTATCCTCCACCTAATATGAGCTTCTAGAAGCCCAAATTTGGAATTTGTTTTATTATCTCTTTCATAGTTTGTAAAACTTTAAACAAATTTTTGGTTAACAAACTCGGGGATGTTAAAGTGAGCAGTGGCAACTCTGACCCAAAATGCTATTAAGCCAGTATTGCTGAAACAATCAGCAACACAGCCTTCACGCTATCGGGCTATAACGGTGAAGACGGCTTCACGGCAAAACACTGAAGTACAGCTCCCAACTCGGTCGATCGCTCTCGGAGCTCTGCACGCTCAAAATAAAACTCGATGATACACTAACTCGCAATACATTGCTACTCTGTGTACGGGCAGGGTTTCTATAGCTTTATTTGGCCTGCCTTCAAGAACATTCTGGCCAAAGCGGTAAGAATTCTTTCTAGAATATTCTCCGTCTGTCTATGGCATGTCGCCAACTGGGCGGTTTGGCACCAAATCTGGCAACCCTGTCTCTTCTAGCCATTTTCTGGCAACCCAATACATTCTATTAAATATACCTGAAATTTTAGAGATTTCATCTTTGTATTATAAAGGGTTTACAAAAAATTATATATTGTAAACTAAATAAATATACAAAACATAAAAATTATATAAAAAGAATTTACATCTTTTGGCTTGTTTGTAATGCAGTTTTAGTGGTTAGCAGTGCATCTGCTACTTAAAATTATGAATTTCAATATTACATGTACCCGCCTCCACGATTAGCAGTTTTTAAAACAGATATTCAACTGTTACTGATATTATTTCAGAATGACTTTCAGTTTCTAAAATAATCTATTTACCTCTCTATGATACTTAATGACCATATAAAATATAGTAATTAGCTTTAAGAAGTCAAACTACAAGAATTAGCATAATACTTTTTAATTTTGCAGGACTCATTTCGACGGTTTAACTACAGAACCATCATAACTAGTTCTGCAAAATTTACAAATATTACGCTGATTCTTGTTGTTTGACTTCTCCAGTAATCATTATTTGGAATGTTATTTTAACCTAAATTATGTAGTAACATTGTTTGAAATACACTAACATTACCATTCTTTACTTCTTTTTAGATGTTTCATTGAAGATGATGAGAGCTGAAGAGGGTCAAAATGCAAGTTTTACATTTTATTATTATAAGATAGACCCTTCATTTTGAACTTACATTTATTTATTGTGTATAAATCATATTTCCTTTTATTGTAAGTCTACCATTCACACATTCCGTTAAATTATATTAAATTAAAAACACTAACAATAAAGATTTTTATGGATTATGTGCTCTGTTTTATTTTGATGATGGTATTTTGTGATTGAAATAGTCTGTGATCACTTTGAAATTGGGAAGAACCAATGAGAAAATGCATTTCCTTTGGGTATCCAGTCTTTTAAACGATCCCACGTTTCTATCCATAAATCATTTTGTAACACTCTGTCTTGCGATATTTTACTTGAAGGTACTGGTCTGCATTCTTCTAAATATTTTCCTCCTATGCCTTCCATTTCCGGACTTAAGGCTGCAAATGTTGCTGTTTCAGCTCCTTGTTTAGCTGACTGAAAAATAGAGAACCTTAAATATTTAAAAATTATTTTGTAGTAGCATTGATTTATAAATTTCAAAATTATTCTGTAATTCAATTTATGATATTCAAAAGTATATATAACTTAATTATTAACTGAACTGAAACTGTATATATTAACTGAAAGAAACATTAAAAACTATGTACAGACTAAATCTGTATTTAGTAAGATGGATTATCATCAATATGTAGACTTATTTCTTATATTAGTGGTGGATATTAATAAATTAAGTAAACTTATCATGCTACTGAAAAATTAGTGTAAGAAACAAAGTAATACTTAAACCTATTATACTACTTGCATAGATCAGGGCATCTTAAACTTTTTTCAGTCGCAACCCATTTTTACTATCGAGATTTTTTTCGCGACCCCATAATATTTATGAAAATTTTGTGAGATCCCATAAGCATTGCACAAACCAGACACACGCATGAATGAAACTGGCAGTTTTTTCATTTGTAGTGTAATATACTATCGCAGTTTTAGATCATTAACTTTAATTTCTAATTTTAAGATATAGAACAATGTGAAAATTTTAAATAAGTAACAGACGAAATGACAGCGTGACGTGCAAAGCAAGTAAAATTAATTTTTATATTATAAAAAGAAAACGTCAAAAGGTTTTTGTTTTTTCTTTGTCTGTATTGTCTTATCTTTACTTTAAGATACATTGTGTAAAAATGTTTTGTAATTATAAAATTATTATAATAAGTTAAAGAAGTATCAACACTGCTAAAATTTTTGGTGACCTCCTGCTGCCGGTTGTGACCCTCAGCGTAAGAAACTCTGGCATAGATAATTAACTAACTAATAATAGATAATGAATCATTTGAAATAAAAGTTAACAATTTAATCAAGCGCTTTTGTAGAGCAACAGGATGATAGTGTCAAGAATAAACAACATAATATGAAATGGTACAATTCTGTTATCAGGACCAGATAAAGAAATGTATGTATGCATGTGTAAATATGAATGTATGTGTATACACATATATGCATATACCCATGTATACACACACATACATACATTTCTGAATACAATCCCAAAAGAACAGTACCAATAAATTGGACTTTTGAGCTCTTATAGAACAAAAGAACAACAGCAAAATATTAAAACTATTTTTGATAATAAGATTAATTTTTAAATGCCGTTTCAAATCTTAAAACACATTTTTAATAATGGAATACTTTTCTGAAACATTATTTAAGAGAAACTGGTTTGCAATTCACACGTTGTTACATTAGAAAGGAAACTCCGAATGCTGTTGTCGAATCGGGACAAATTGCCAGCAGTCTGCAATTTTAACAGATATAAATTTGATCGATGTGATAAAAATTGCCATTGAGTTTATTTATATAAAAAAATAAACTTATATGGATAATTTTCTCAAATTAAACCCATATTTTCATAAACTGTGAATTGCACATTTCATAATAAAAAATCAAGAAAAGTAGATATAAATGTTTTTAGATCTATTTTGCTGTAGGACAACATGCATAAAGCAATTTTTTCCTTGAGAGATTTATATGCACCAATTCAATACTTCCAGTGAGAAAACATACTTTTATTGTTAGCTCATGTAGACTATGGTACAAATTTTTGAAACATAAGAAATACATCTTTTACGTTAGTTATTTCACTAAACAAAGAATGAAACTGAATGATACACTTTAACCTTTTGACAGGCAGTGGGACGCCAGGCATCTCACCTTTTTATTCAGTTTTTATCTCCCAGATGAAAGCTGCAAAATTCCATTTAAAATACATACATTTATGCCTTTTAGTTCTCTAAATGTATAACAGATGGCGGCACTAGTATTCATTCATGGAAATAATGTAAAATAAAAATTCTTTGAAGGTCTAATTTTGAAACAGTTTTCTTTATTTATTTCTAATGCAGTTTAAAATTGTCCGAACAGCAACGTTTGGGGTTAGAATGAATATCTTTATGTGAAAGTTTCCTTTTCTAAAAAAAATTAATTAGGAATGGTTGAAATTAAAAGGTGGGACCAAATACATCCCACCACGCATGTAGGAATTGCTGCTACTATATGGCAGCACTGTTCAAATATTTTTTAATTCAAGTATCATGTTGGTTTTATATGTTGATAATGAAAATTTATATTTTTTATTAAGTTACAATAATGTTAAAACTTGAAACATATTTAGTATTTTTTCCAAAAGAAATGAAAATATAACTCTGTAACGTGAAATGTCATTGACTACTGAACGGATATGTGAGTGTAAATCATAACGACCTTCTAAATAAACTATCTTCCTTTTCAAACCTGTAGCAAATAAAGTACTGGAGCGAAATCTTCTCTGTTTCAAATATATTATGAAATCATTTAAAAATATCTAAAAAGTCGTACGGAGAGCATTTTTTTTTTAAATCATGTAATTTTTTTTTTGAAAAAATATTTTTTATTTTGCTAATATGATCAATACTTTCTAGATAATTATTCAAAAACATTTTTTTATATCTTGCATTTTTGTCTGGTTGTTAAAATTTGCATGTTAGGAGAATTTATGCTGAGGCAAAGATGCCATTTTACTGCTCTAGATGCGCGGTGGGACAAGCGGTATCCCACCATGTTATGAATTCTGTTTTTTTTTTTTTTTAGCATGAAATAACATTGTATTAGGCTAGTTATCTATGTGTAAAGTTAATTTTTCAAAAAAAATTTTTTTTTCATGCACCGAACCTCAAAGGGTTTTAAAACCACAGTTATAAGAGATAAGAATAATACATTTACAGTAATTTTACACTGGTCAGTAAGCAATATTATTACATTGTCTTTCCGTAAAAAATTGTTTGACTTTTATGCAGTAGTGAAAAAGATCCACGTTTTCTTCATTAAACTACATAAGTGGCATTTAATTGAAAAGAGATCAAGTTATACAAACGTTTTATGATATTTATGTGCTCAAAAATATTCTAATAGTTTTTAAGATGTCACTGAATTACCAATCTTTGAATTATTTTTTTCTAAAAGTTCTTGCACTGCATACACAATAAATTCTGTGACTTTGATGACTATAAAATATATGCAAGTAGAATACAACTTTTCATAGCATTTTATACCTATTGCTTTCGATAGCCAACAGAAAATATATTAGGATTTCATGATACAATAGATGTTGCTTAATATGATCACTATTAATGTTGTCATTCATACATTGTTATTGATTGCTAAAGTCCTGCCCATTTGTATATAAAAACATGGAAAATGCATCAACAATTCAGTTAATGAAATAAAAGTATTAGATCTACCGGAAAGTTTTGTCCGTTTTTATGACAAAAATTTTTGACACGTAAGCACACATTTATATGGTGCATGTTTGGCTCTTTATTTTTATCGCTTAATGTATGCATATTGCCGTAGCAAATTAACTAAAAGTTGATTCACGTTAGTCTTGAGTATGAAGCGATAATGTACTCATGGTTACTGATAAAGTTCATTTATGCCACTGTATACAAATTTCAACAAGAAAAATTTATTGAAAGAATTTGTGAATGTACAGTTTCTGATAGGATATGCAGAAGATGGTTAGAAAAATTTGAAACAGGTGATTTCGACCTTTCTAAAAGCCACGTTCTGGGTGACCATCTTTGATCGACAGCAATGTTATTAAGACCATGTTGAAGCAAGATCCTTTTCTGACAACAACGAAGATCGCAGAAAGGCTTAGTTTAGCTCAGCAAAACATTTTGGACCATATTTGGAAGACAGGATTGGTGTGCAAATATTAAAGATGGGTGCCACATGAATTAAGTCAGAAGAATCTGGATGCTTGAGTCATCATATGCACATCGGTACTTGCCCGCAGAGCCAGATTTACACACAAGTAATATACATATTATTTAGTAAAGTCTAAATCTGGCTCTGCTTGCTCGCAACAAAATCGAGTCCTTGAACTGGATGATAACTAGGGATGAAAAATAGATTACCTACGAAAACATTTTAAGGAAAAGGGCATATTGTTAACCCGGAAAACCTAGCCCTTCCACCTCTAAACTAAATTTGACTTTGAATAAGAGAATGTTGTGTATATGGTGGAACATTTGAGAATTAAAACATTATGAGCCAAAACCAAACAAAAAGTCAGTTCGGAGAAGTATTGTCAGCAACTGGATAATTTAATGACAGCAGTCCAAGAAAAGACGCTGGCAATGATCAATAGGAAGGACATCATACTGAATTTTGATAATGCCACGCTCATAAAAAAATTGCAGAACTGTGCTAGGAAATTCTGTTGCATCCACCATATTCCCCCGGACTTAGCACCCTTCGATTCGATTATCACTTGTTTTTGTTCTTACAAATTTTTTTCAAGAGCAAAAAATTCAAAAATGAAGAAGATATCAAACAGATTGCCCTCATGCTGGCAAGAAGTCATTAATAATAATGGCAATTATATTATTTAATGAAGTTTAATGACAGTAAGAAAAATTTGTATTTTTATTCCAAAAATGGACAGAACTTTCCTGTAGGCTGAATACTATAGATTAAATTTGTTTTAAACTGAATTAACTCACTAAATAAGGTAAAAACAGATTATAAAAATTTCCACGTTACAGAGAAATGTTACCTATTAAGAGATTAAGTCGCCAAATAACTTAGTTTGGAGTGTATAGTTTAAAATGAGGCAAAATTGCAATCTTAGTTTGGCATAGATTTTTTTATTTTGAGGGCGAACATACACAGCTCTACTTTTCCAGAAGCAAAAAAATTCCTTCAGGTTCTCCCTCCTTTTTTTTTTTTTTTTTTTTTTTTTTTTTTTTTTTGGGGGGGGGGGATTTTCTGAAACCATCTATGTCACACTAAGGTCACATTTTTGTATAATTTAAAATTTTACATTGAGCATAATTTCATTCGTCACTGCAAATTTATCTAAATTATGCTCTTATAGCCTTAGTAATTCCAATGATCATTATTTGCCGTGTTATTTCAACTCAAACTGTTAAATTAGTTAGTTGAAGTGCCAACATATAAACTGATTGATAACTTTTAACTATTAGAGTCTTGGTTTAAATAAAATGTAATAAATAAAGAATTAAATTTCATTGCATAACAGTTTAAACATATCTGAACTGCAGAGAAAAGATCACAATGAGGTGGATTTTTCAAATATTCATTCACCTCTAATTAATCTGTGTATTTGAAGTTCTACATTATTTAATTCTTTGACAGTAAGAATTGAACAACTAACATGCTGCAAATTTGTAATGAATAAAATACAGTCAAAAGTCTTTAATCTGGACCTCAAAGCTACAAACTTTCTGTGCATGCGTAAACGCATAATGCGTCTACGCATGCATGTAATACCTTTACGCATGCGCGTTTAATGTATAACGGACGGTATAAGCTAAGCTAAAATTATCTAATTATCTATTTCAGTTAATGTTGCAGATTGTGTTGTTCTTTAATCTTCTAACTGGATCCGGTTTATTATTTTTTTTGCAGACTGTTAGAGCAATTTTATAAAAGTAAGCTTGAACTTTCAATTATGTCGAAAAGAATTTCTGATTCTGGAGCTGCCAAAGGATCTACAAAGTGAAAGCATGTTTCGATGTCCATCAAACAAAAAGTGGAATTGCTGCAAAAAAATGGATAAAGGCATATCCTTTGTTTCTCTAACCATTCCAAAATCTGTTTATCAATTTCACGCTGCTCTGCGGAGGGGGGGGGGTGGGGAGGTACGTCGCAGTGCACAATGAACTGGAAGTTGATCTGTCAGCACTATCCTTATCTTCAGGGCAAATGTTTTTATTTTATTCGGCTTATAATTCCTTACTAAGTGTAGTATAATCTCGATATACTCCATCTTTGATATGATTTAAATCAAATTCCTCGCCATTATAAATATCACAAATACACATCAAATAGTTTACTGGTTGCAATTTTCTAATTTCAACTATGTGTAATGTATGCTTTACGCATGCGCGAATTGAAAGAAATGTTTAATAAAGTAAATAAATATTAAGCTTTTTTTTTGTAAATTTTGATACCCTTTAGATCATAATTGCTCTTTATTTCATAAATTACGGTTTCATATTTTTAATTTTATAATTTCTGCATGCTATCTTACCAGATTTAAACTGATGATCTATAATCCGGAATCGCCAAAGTCCCGACGAGTCCGGATTAAAGACTTTTGACTGTATCATCAGTTACTCATTATTCCACAAAATATTTTAGAAATTTGTAAAATATATGCAAATGATTCTAGATTTTATTATAATGAAATAGAGCCAAACTTACCATTTTATTAAAAAATATTTCACAAATGCTCAGTGTGCCTTATCATATAGATATTCTTGATATATATGTAGTAATCTGTTTTGTCACACATGTATGCCATTATATCAAGATCAGTCAGAGCAACAGGATCAATGACCGTGGTTACAAAGATCCTCCATGAGAAAACGTCGCATGGGATTATATATTAGAAGACTAGGGTAGCCACCAAATTAATGCATTATTTTGTGTTTCATCCATCTTAATGGCGGAATTCATCTGAGAAATTCAACGAGAAGTCTATAGCTTATTTTGAGACAAACATTCTTGTAAATAATCTTGAAAATGATCTTGTGTTGGTAACATCTTTCTTGAAATAAGATAAATCTGCACTTCGTAGCATCTTGCATGCCAGTATTGTGCTGCCCAGACGGTATAGTGGTTAGGAGAGCCTGATACCAAAGGGCCCGGGTTTGAATCCTGGAGAAGGCATGGATGTAAAATTGTCTGTCCCTTCATAGGAGGTAACAGTGGCCACCTATTAGGTGCCTCCACAACATAATGGCCACCACTTTCTAGCCTTAGGAGTGGCCAATTCCATTATAGGCAAGTGCTCACCATTGGAAGGAGGAAGCCAGTGTTGTTTCCTACACGATATTTAATGGTGGAAGGCATGATGCATATCAGGACATAGGCATTTGCATGAGTGCCTAAATACATGTAGATAGTGTATTACTATATATATATATATTCTTATTGGAATATTAATTTCTTTTAAAGAAATAATATTGCAATAGTTACCGGTAGTTTATCCATGACTACTTTTCATTCGTTATTTCTTATTGTAACTGCATTCTGCAGAAATTAAATGACTCACATAATCTTCCCCCTTTTGATTTTCAGATGATAAAATTAGTTTTAAAAATGGGGGAATACAGTATATAAATATGGTTAATAATAACAGCTATATCTAGCTGAGAAATTACAATTTAGACTTTGCATCCACTATATACTAGGTATTGATTGATATACGTGAAAACAAATAGGTAATGATTATTACCAACTTTTCATAATTTTTTATTTCTATTATTGTAGTAAAATATTGCCTATAATTAAAGCTTACTGTCTGGTGGGTGGCAGTGACTATAGCAACAGGGCTAGTATATTTCAAATAGGGACAAACCAATGGTTACTTTATTGTTATTTTGTTTGCTGAGGGAGAGAGAGTTTATCATTCATCTTCAAGACACCCCTATGAAAAATGGGTCAAGACTCGTTTGTATGGCAACAGACAGCTGCATACTAACTGGCGAGAGCTTTTCTTATGATAGACAGACTGTAACTTAATTTTAATCAGAATTACTGCTACTTGCACTGAGTATTTGCCTACTTTCCCCCCTTAAAAATTTATGCAAAAATATAAGGAGGGATCTTGTATTCAAGTAGTATATATGGTATATATTTCTACAAAATTTTATCCAGTACCTAAACCACGTAAAAAACAAGATATAAATAGCATTAAATTACAAGAATTAAGTAAAAATTTCAAAATACATTAATTTAACATTATATAAAGCTGTAATGACAAAAATATTTCTTAAAGCTAATTTTAACTCCTAAATGTCATTTCTTTAAGGGAAACATTAGAATGAATAATATAATAAATTAAACTGAAAATTAAATTAACCTATCTATATGTTCAAAATTAATAATAATTTAATAATGTTGATGATAATAAAAAAATGTACCTTTAAGAATATCCTCAGAAAAAAGGAACCTATGGAACCTACAAGTGATATCCATAAAACTGAAGACATAAGTTCGGTATTCACTACTCCTGGATGAACACAATTTACAGTAACATAAACATTTTCAGCAGACAGATGAGCTTGAAGTGAATAAGTAAACATGATTTGGGCTAATTTTGACTGAATGTATGCTCTGTACTTGGAGTAATATGCCCTAATAAGAGAAGAATTATGCAATTTATAAAATATTATAAGAAAATTTCTTTAATTATATATATGACATATAAAAATCTTATTTAAGTTATTTGAACTCAGGTTGGCTGCATGGAAAGGTTTTCCTGATTGTCTGCTATATATAACATGAATCTAAACCAGTTTTCCTAAGAAAGTCCTCCACAAAAGCATCTCTTCCCTAGGCAGATGGCCCTTGCGTGCTTTGCCATATTCTATTAAATTAATGTAACCTAGGTCAATAAGATAATCACCTGAAAGTTTGCGACATTTTTGAATGAATATATGTATTATTGTTCAGTGGCAGTTTCTTTTTCTTCTTTAGTACAGTCAAAAGTCGTTAATCCGGACTTCGGCGATTCTGGATTATAGATCATCAGTTTAAATCTGGTAAGATGGCATGCAGAAATTATAAAATTAAAAATATGAAACCGTAATTTATGAAATAAAGAACAATTATGATCTAAAGGGTATAAAAAAAAAAAAAAAAAAAAAAAAAAAAAAAAAAAAAAGCTTAGTATTTATTTGTTTATTTTATTAAACATTTCTTTCAATGTAAGTTGTTTAAGTTGCTTCGTTTTTTATGTGATAATACATTCTCTTTAATTCTTTAAACAGGCATAATTTCTTGTTCAGTTACAAAGTTCCGCTGTTCAAGTCCTATAATTGCTGAGTCGAGAATACCGACTACTTTGTCAATTGAAATTTTTTCGTTTTGAATAACTTCTGTCACTTTCTTCGCTATCGGAAGCGAATTATAATGACGAGGAATTTGATTTAAATCATATCAAAGATGGGGTACATCGAGATGAAATACTACATTTAATAAGGAATTATAAGCCAAATAAAATAAAAACATCTGCCCTGAATATAAGGATAGTGCTGACAGATCAACTTCCAATTCATTGCGCGGCGCCGCAGCGTTAAAGATAAACAAAGTTTAGATAAACAAACGTTAAAGTTTAGATAAACAAAGGATATGCCTTTATCCATTTTTGTAGCAATTCCACTTTTTGTTTAATGAACTTCAAAACATACTTTCGCTTTGTAGATCATTTACATATTAATAAATATATATCAGAAATTCTATTTGACATAATCGAAAGTTCAAGCTTACTTTTATAAAATTACTCTAACAGTCTGCAAAAAATAATAAGCCGGATCCAGTTCGAAGATTAAGGAACAACGCAATCTGCAACATTAACTGAAATAGATAATTAAATAATTTTAGCTTAGCTTTTACCATCCGTTATACATTAAACGCGCACTCGTAAACATATTTTGCGCATGCGCACAAGCATATTCTCAGCCGTAAAGGCCTTACGTGCGTCGACGCATGCGCAGAAAGTTTGAAGCTTTGAGGTCCGGATTATGGGTGTCCAAATTAACGACTTTTGACTGTATCCTGATAATTTTACATAAGTGCAATTGCATAAATGATTTATGTTAAGGCAATAAAATATACAAAATTGTCTTTCATATTTTATTTTTACATACAAAATTATTTCTAGATCTTTTATGATGTTTAAAAATATGTCATATTCGTTTCTTCTATATGAATATACAATAAATACAACATTTATGGGCAATTTTTATTTTTAAGAGACCCAAAAGTTAAAACATAATTTTAAAAGTTAATGATTGAGAAAAAAGGATGATATTTTCCCAGTTTTTATGCAGTTAACATTTCTAAAGCATATCTAATACAACTTGCTACATACATTTTCATAATAATGTAAATAGTGGAGAGAATATATTTTAATACTAATCTGAGTATTTTGAAAGTTATTTTTAACCATTTTCTTTTTAGAATTCCATTTTGATTATTGGAACTGCATGGTTAAATTAAGTTCTTCACACAGTTCTTTAAAAATTTTATTTTTATTAATATGTATATATATATATACTTTTAATTGCTTGTATTTTATTTGAATAGCATTTGTTTCGAATGAGTAATTTTTCACATTGTCTTTGCCATGATACCTTTGAAAACTGCTTTCTGTATTAAAAGAGAAAATACTGTTAAACACGGCTAATACGTCTTTCAAGGAGCCTTTCAGAAACATAAAAATTGGAATGTTGTATTATCTATAGTTTAATTTAGAATTTTAATTTAGAATGATTTAATTAATTTTTATTTAGAAAATCAAACATAAAAAAAGGCTAAACTTTGTGCAAATAATTAAGTAAAAATACATATTTTATATTCTTAATGCCTTATTGATTTTCTTAAGGCATTCTGCAGATAATCTGCAACATATTTCCCTTTTTTTATTTGCTATATATAATACTCATTGTTGAAACAGCTTGTTTTCTGCAATAGTCCTAGCTTTGTGTATAAATACAGAGAATGCTGAGAGTTTTGAATCTTTAGTTGGGAGAGCTATTAGTATTTTTAACCAGCACTGTTTAAAAATTATAATCTGGCTTTAGCGTTCCAGCTGGCTAATGCTTTAAATATGTTGCCGGTAAAATATATGAGCCAGCTTATTCTAGCTAATGTTTAATGCTCCTCTGATTCTTTCTCCTATCTTTAGCTTAGATTCCAAGAACAGCAAGCGAATACAATAATAGCAAAAGTGATTGATGTGAATGAAGGTTCATGAGCAGTACAACTTTGTAGTTTAAAAACTAATGCATTAACAAAACTCTGCTGTTTGCGCCAGAGATTATAATACTACTTTAAATATTTGCAAATCAGATAGTAAATTAGAATCTATCGGTTTGTTGTTTTTACAACTGGAAAAAATTAAAATTCTGCAGACCCTACTAGGCAGATAGTGAGATATTCCTGCATCTTGAATAACTCATAAAATACAGAAGATTTAAATAACCTTTTTATTTTACTCGCAGTTTAAACATAAAGGCACAATTTATGCTACAGATAAAATTTCCACAACTTTTGGATATTTTAACAGACCAGACCAGGGTTTCATAAACTTTTTGGTATGGGGACCCCATAACATTTATGAGAATTTTGTGGGATCCCATAAACATTGCACAAATCCGACAATGTGTAAGTCAACTGTCAGTTTCTTCACTTGTAATGTAATATATTATTGCAGTTTTAGGTCATTAACTTTAAAAATTAAAGTAAAAGGAATGTTTCTATTATAAAAGAATGTGTCAAAACGTTTTCGTTTTTCCTTTCTCTGTATTGTCTTATCATTTTCTGTTTTCAGATACATTGTAGAGACATTAGGTATTTTTTAAAGCAAGAGAGATGAAAAACGATCAACGCCTTTGCCCCAGAAATCGAACCACGGGCCTCTCGAATATGCGCCGAGCGTGCTGACCACTACACTACAATGGCATGCTAAGAAGCCAGGAGAAATACCTTATGTACTCCCCCTTTTAAAAGGCTACTGGGGATTAGGGGACCCAAATGCCAAATCCTGGTGGTGGAGAATCATCATCTACCACCCTTTAGTTCGGGCTCCAATGTAGAGACATTAGGTATTTTTTGAAAGCAGGAGAGATGAAAAATGAGCAGCGCCTTCGCCGGGAATCGAACCACAGGCCTCTCGAATATGTGCCGAGCATGCTGACCACTACACTACGAAGGCATGCTAAAAAGGCGAGAGAAATACCTTATTATGTAAAAATGTTTGGTAATTGTAAAATTATTGTAATAAGTTAAAGAAATCTGAAAATTGCTAACATTTCTGGCGACCCCCTACTGCACATCCTGCAACTCACACTGGGGTCACGACCCACAGTTTAAGAAACTCTGGACTAGACAATTAAATTCAAATGTCCATAACATGGTCCAATATTACACATTAAATAGAACAAGCTGGCTCATATATTTTCCTGGTGCATATTTAAAGCATCAGCTATGAAGAACACTGAAGCTGGAATGTAATTTTTAAATAAAGCTGGCTAAAAATATCCAACAGCAAAATGAGATTTTCAGAAGCTATCTCGGCTAAAGATTCAAAACCCTCAGCTTAAATACACACAAAGCTAATTTGCATTCTCATGTGAAGTACAAAAAGAAAAAAGTTGACTTGAATCATAATAACTGGTTAATTAACATAATATACTTTACAAATCTAATAACTTGGCTCTTAATATAAGTGGTCCCACTAATGCTCAAAGACTGCTGATAATTTGTTCCAGAAACCAGCCCAAGGAATAAAACCAGCCCAAGGGAATAAGCCGGCTGCATGATTTTTCTCTGTGCATCGTGAATACAAGCCAGTTTTCCTTAGAAAATTTCTCCATGAAGGCATTCCTTCCCTTAGATAAACAGTTTTGCTTTGTCATACTTTAAATAACGAACCACCCTAATTTATGCTCGATTTCTAAATTAAGAAAACCAGAAACTCAGCCTAGTGTAATGATTAAAATTTAGGTCTTGTCAAATCACTAAAAATGTACTTATTCTAAATCCTATGTTTACATAAAATATATTTTGCTTAAGAGAAAAAAAAAAAAAAAAAAGTTTTTTTTAAGGATAATTAGGGATTTTATGATAATTTTAAACATCAGTTTAAGAAATATATTATGCAGTAAAGGTCACGAAATATCTTTGGACATAAAACATCTTCAAAATCATTTCTATTTGCTGCCTTTGCTACACACAGAAAAGAAGATAAAAATTTTATATTCTAGTAAATGTTAACGGTATCAAAACATTTATGTAGTTAAAGACAGCATGCTTTATTTATACTTTTGACACACTCAGAGTTTTGAATGTGTACATGATGCAATTTTGATATCGGCAAAATAAATTTCATTGAAATAAAATGAAATTATATAAAATAGACTATAAAATGGTGATGGTAAAAATTTACTCTTACTCAACTATTTAAATTTTTTAATATTAATATTCTTTACTAATTTAAGAAATAACCTTTCATGTATTATATATTTCTTAAGCATTATTAATAAAAATGAAAATAAAGAAATTTTCTTTCATGAAATCAATATTCTATAAAACCGCATCATCGATCTAAGATTGATTTTTGCTTAATTTTATATTTTGAGTAATGTTGGTACTTCACGTACACTTACTTCTTCTGAAGGTGTTTAGAATCTTTAGATCCTACATAATGTATGCAAGAAGTGCTGTTAATTATTCGAGAATATGTGTTGGCTGTCCCAGATTTTGCCAGTAATGGTAGTAATAATAATGTTAAAAGACAATGAGATACGTAGTTGACTGCAAAATGCTTCTCAAAACCATCTTCTGTGTATTCTTCTTTTACAAACATAATGCCGGCTAAAAGGAAAAAAGAAAATTTTAAATTGAATTTACTTGAGAATACACATCATGCAATATTAACTTTTCATGAACAACAAATTTTTTTCTGAAGTAGCAGTTGTATTCTGTGACACAGTGTTATGGCTGAAGAAGCAGTTGTATTCTTCGATACAGTATTATATCTTACTCTTAAGAATAAAAAAAAAGTGTGTAATTTTTTTATGAATAATTGTGTATTATCAAATAATAATATATTTTCAAAGTACCTTGTTGTAAATAATTTTTTTTTCTTTTTTAAATCAACAAAACACTTGTTATTCTTGAGAATCTCGTCTCTTAATTAAATAAAAATTGTGATTTTTTTTTTCACTTTCTTTTTTAACATTTTGCTTTATTCAGTAAACTATCATGCAGTGCTTCAATAATCTTTTGCCAAGTCTAATTGCCCGAAAAAATTTCCCCTTATAAAGAATGTCTTTTTTTCTTCTTTCAACAAATGCACATGACGTTAAAATTATTGCACCTGAGAATATTTTGTTGAAAAAGAAATTATGGAGATTTCTGTAAATAATATGAAGAGAAAAGATGGGTGAAATGAGATTAAAAAAAACTTTAATTTTCCTTTTGGCAGAACTACAATGCAGTTGGTATTTATGAAACATGCGATTGGCATATAGGAATATTTATGAAGAATTTTTTGCAGTAGTGATTCAAGTTCCCTAAAATTAGTAATTGATATCATTGTTTCTTGAGACTATAAAAATGCCAAGCTATCACCAAAGTTACTATACTACAAGGTTGCTTTTGTATGATATCACCGACTCCTAATGTGCTCTAAACTTCTTTTCTTTGTGTCGTATTTTCTCCTCATTCTGTAAATAATGATAACATTAGGAAAAGCCTAACCTTATCTGTGTGATGACCTTGGTTACCACCATAACCTTTCTTGGGTGAAAAAGTTTTTTTTAACAGCTTTCCTGCATATTGTTATTTACCTGGTAAATCCCAGGATGAACTATAGGCATTCAACAAGTCTTTAACAACTTCTCGGCCACTTAACTGGAATATTCTATTTTTTAAATGGATGTGCTAATCATTACGTATCACACACACACAAAAAAGATATTGAAAAGAATGACTTAATTCCTGATAATTTTCCAAGCTGACCATCCGGTATGTAGTTAGTGAATCTAACTGCTGTAAGGCTTGGGTTTGAATCCCAGAGATGGCACAGACGTTTGTAAGCATATAGTGTCTGTGTGGCAAAAGGGCACCCAAAATACACAGCAGGCCGAAAGTTCTGTCGAGAGGTTGATGGTAGGGAAGGAAGGGTGAGAGACCCTCTGGCCTGTCCGCATGGTGTTCTCCCTCAAAACTGGGCGAGGGTATAGATGTATGACCAATACTGATATTCTAATGTCCTTCCCACGTCCACTTCCACTGACAACATAATAGTTTGATGCAAAATGGTTTCTCTTAGCTTGTTAACCAAGTATGTGACAATTTTGAAATACGAGGGCCATCCAGGAAGTAGATTACGTTTCCGTCTGTGTCCGCTAGGGGCGGGGCTAGGGCGGCTATCTTGGGGTCAGAGCGTTGCGCAGCTCAGTCTGCATCTAGCCGTGCTAGTGAGAGGTTCGTGCTGTGCTCCGTTCAGATACTGTGACGGTTTGAAATGTCTGCGTTAATTGAAAACCCCGCGAGCTGCGAGGTGCGCTCAGTAATAAGGTTTTTCTGAACTGCAAAAAAACTGTAAACCGATAGAAATCTATCGGCAGCTTCGTGAAGTGTATGGGGACAACATTATCACTGAAGGTGGAGTGCGTCAGTGGGTCATAAGATTTCAAAATGGCCGAACCAATGTTCACGACGAAGATCGAAGTGGGAGACCCAGCATAGTGAACCGCCGAACTTCTCGGAAAAGTCGATGCTAAAGTCCGTGAAAATCGAAATTTCACAATAACGGAACGGAACTTTTCTTTGAGTTTTCCACAAATTTCGCGAAGTTTGTTTGCACACGAAATCATCAGCGAAAAGCTTGGTTACCACAAGTTTTGTGCAAGATGGAAGGCAAGAAGAGGTAACGAAGTGGTTGAAGGCGCAGGCGGCCGAATTTTTTTTTCGACGAAGGAATTTTCCAAGCTCGTACATCGCTACGATAAATGCCTTAATTTGTATGGTGACTATGTAGAAAAGTAGTATTTGAGTGTGGCTTTCATCTGTATATAATAAAATTTGTTTCCTATACTTTGTTTATTTTTTTATTCCAAAACGTAATCTACTTTCTGGATAGCCCTCGTATTATACATTACTTTTAACTCTTAAGGAGCCCATTTTTCAAACTTTTTAATTTTGCCAGTATGGCATTACGATTTGCTTTCTATCAGATAACCAATGGTTTAGTTTTGATCCAAATTGCAATCTAAGAATCATTAGCAATGTATAATCTTTCTTTCTTCATTTCCCGCCTCTGAATTAAGCTTTTTTTTATATATATATAATTTTTTATAACGAGTAGAAAAGTTTGATAAACAGGAAACAGAACATAAAACGTTGAATTGCGTATTATATATATCTTTCAAAATATAACTTACCAGTATGGATGCACACTTTTAAAATAATTCTACTTTAATTAAACTTAGGAGATAATATAATCAATTAATCAATACTGTTTAGGAAATAAATTATTATTAACTAACTTTGCAGCAATTGCGCAAGTAATAATAACTTGTATTCGCACTAAATGGATTTAAGTTCATACAACATTTGATATGCTAAATAGCAGCTATTAGCGCTATTTATCTCTTACCTAATGTACCCACTTTATATATTATCTCCAACCTTTTTAAGTTTTAAAGTTCTTATACAAAAACTTTACTATATATATATATATATACACACATGGTTGTAAACATGTAATTCCAGTTATAAAAATGATTTAATGATATATATATAATTTTAAAATATGAAAACATGAATCTTTGCATCATTAAATCATTTTTGTAACTGGAATTACATGTCTACAACCAGTGTTTGCAAATATAAAAGTCAGATGAAGACTTTCGGTAGACACAGTGTATTTGTAAAGTAAGAAGGCTGATTACAGGCAGAGGAGGATTTATGAAGTCATGCTAAACGCAATGGGCTATGCTCCATAATTAATTTTTTCAACATACTTTGTGTTTTAAGATAAAGTGCTTCTAAAAGTTTATGTGAGGAAGCCCACTCCCTGTTTCACTAATCCGCCACTGGCACTATAGGCTTTATTTCCTACAATAAAAGGGTTTGCATATAAAAAAATTAACTTTTTTGTATGATCCGTATCGAATGTAAAGCATCCACTTAGTAAAATGTTTGCTTGCTTTAATTTGTTAAAACAAAAGGTATTCTTCCCCTTAGGTGGATGGCTCTAATATGCTTTGCCATAGTCAGATAAACCAAATTAAAACTATTAAAGTAAAGATTCTGTACATTACATGAAATTGAAGATTCAATCAGACCTTAATTTCTAAAATTAAAAGTGAAATCAGAAAATCTCCCCCCCCAAAAAAAACTAATAAATTGCAATTCAATAAAAAGTAAAGATAAATAAAAATTTAATCAGTTAAATAAAAAATAAAATAAATTACGAGACCTCATCCTACATTCTTTTGCAAAAAAAATCCAAGCACCGTGAAGGTGCTTCGATTTGAAGTGGTTGTTTTTGATGAAATTGAATATGTGTATAGCTCATACACAGATAATAAAATGATTAAAAAATCAAGGTCATAGTACCTGTTCACGGCTCACAATTATCCATTGAGTGTTCAAATTAAGTGGTCGAACCGCCCCTGGCGGCAATGCATGCTTGAATTCGTCGAGGCAAGGAGTGGTAGAGGTTCCTAATGTCATCCTGCGACACATTCTGCCAGGCATTCAACAGTTGTCGCTCCAGATCTGCGATATTTTGTGGTGCCCGAAACTGGCGGCCTATCATGTCATAGACATGCTCGATTGGTGAAAGGTCTGGTGACCTCGCTGGCCAAATAAGAGTATTAACCGCACGGAGACAGTCCAGAGATACGCGAGTGGTATGTGGCCTGGCATTACCTTGTTGGAAAATGGCCCCAGGATGAATGCCATGAAGGGTAATGCAATCAGCAGTAAGATGATATCAACATATAGTTGAGCTGTCATAAAAAATAGCACGTGACACCAGGGTTTATGCCTTTGTAAAACAAAGGCTGATTGGGACCGCTGGCCCCGTCCTCTCCAGACACGAACACGGTGGTCATCTGCTTCAAGAGTGAAGCAGAATTCAGTGCTGAACACTATACGATGCCAGTCTGATGCCAGCCGTGATAATCGGCTGCGACACCACTTCAGACAACTCTGCCGATGTTGTGGGGTCAAAGGCAAACAAACGCCATAAAGGCATCTGTGAGCGCAACCCCGTCTCGACAAGCGGCATGAGATGGTGGACGGTACCACGTGAGGTATAGAAGTGGCTATAGTGTGTTGAATAGTCGACAATGATACCGTTGGGGCGGTTCGGGCCTGGCGAATAATCATCCTATCTTGCCTCACATTTCTGCTCCTTGGCCTTCCAGAGCCTTCATTTCGTCGGCAGTTTCCTTGTAGCAACCATTGCTGCCAACATCTTTGCACAACAGTGTCTGTACACTGCAGGTGGCGGCCTATTGCTTGGTATGACCACCCGGCTTCACGCAATGCTACAATGCGACCATGTTCGAAGTCGTTTAGCTGTCTATAAAGGTCTTCGATATCGTCGTAATGGCATTTTAGTTGCATCTTTACGAAATTACAATGGCAGCAACAAAAAAAGATAAATTTTCCGCCTCTGTTGTTGGTTTTATACTTTGCGAATTGTACACTTGAAATGCGTTCTATGATCGCTATTCCTATTCATTTGCCTTGAAACTTTGATCGTTTGCGTGTTCGATCAGGATGTTTTTGCATACCAAATTTCGTCATGATCGCAAAAGTCCCTCTTGGTGCTTCGATATTTTTGCAAAAGAGTGTATTTAAGGCTAAGGCAGGAATTATACTTTCATTCAAAAACTAAGAAATTACACTGCTTTCAATTTAAGTCCTGAATATGTTACTATTCAATGTACTATTTCAAGAGATGATAGAAATAATTCAGCATACCAAATAAAACAGATAAAAGGTTAAAGTTTCACTAATGAGACCAGAGACTACTAGAAACAGTATGAAAACATGGAAGGAAATTTTAATGGAGAAGTGTAGGTATGAAAGCAAAGAAAGGAGAATCGCAAATTTTGGATCACATCCCTTGCAGATATAATTCTAACAGTCAAACACACTATACCAGTGAAAAAAAATTAAGCAAATCCAAAGACAGATCTGTTAGTCAATAACAAATGTAAGGCTCAGTGCAAGTGATAATTTTCCTACCACATATTTGGTTATGTTGTTCCAAAAAGTCTGCAAGTGGTCGTCCTCACTAACTCTGGATTGTTTGAGATGTTTATCTCAATATTTTACTATGTTAAGAACTATTTACTATATTAAGTTACTCGTTCAAAACTGGTGGCCTCAAAGCAAATTTATTGACTCATGATGAACATTGATTATTTATTTGTTTTCAGATTTCAGTTATTCGAAGTCCGAGTTTACACTATTTTTATTACCATTTTAAATGAACAACGCCACAGAAAAATCCATAAGTAGAACTGATTAATTTAATGTGACAGAAATCTTATTCAAAGATTTGAAAATGCCGATTATTGTTAACTTTTATTCGTATTTGCCAAAAAATAAACAAGCTCAGTAACGAATTTTTTCACAAAGAATCATCGCTTTGTTTGGGAATTCATTTTCTTACAAGAACAGCTTCCTTTCACAGCTGAAGGTTTGGTTTATTTAATTATGACAAAGCACTCGGTTATCTGCCCAGTGGAAAAGGGATGCTTCGTGGAGAACTTTTTAAGGAAAACTGGCTCATATACAAGTTACATGTGGGGGGAAAAACACGAAAGTGCCCATACAGTTAACTTGTTTGCTTGGATTCGAACTACCAGTGTTCGGTGACTTCACTGCTTGGCTGCTGGTGGGCCTTTTCACAGATGAAAATTGATAAGAAAAGAATCCAATTGTTGGATAAGCATCTGCTAAAGATAGACACACATTTGAAAGTTAGAATTGATTTTTAAAGCTTACTTATTACTAAAATTTTAGAAGATCAAAAGAATTTTCTGCTGATGGGAAAAAAAATCTCCTCCCAAACTTGAAGGTAAACTGAGAACAAATGTAAGGTAGTAACTTTGTAGAAGTGGTAATTCTCATTTGGTTACTGTTTGTCTTTTCACCGGAAATGACTAATGTTAGACACGTACGATGGAGTGACCACTTCTAATACTTTTGAGAATGAAAATGTATCCGGTCTCACAAATCCATTGCACTTCCTGGAAAACATGTGGGTGGGAGATTTTTTCATTCCTTAAAAGTCTGTTTACATCATATAAAACATTTTTATAATTGCAAATATGTGTCTACGACCAGAGGTTGCAAAAATAACTGCCAGGTAACAAAAAATGCTTCACATGTAATTAATTTTATCAGTGATAATAACAATAGACTTTCTAAAACTGCAACAAGACATAATGGTATGAATTTTGCATGCATATAATTTTTTGTTTTAATATCTTACCATTATTAATGAGAAGATGCAATGGCCTTCCAGTCGACGAGTACTTTTCAGCAAATGCTTTGACTGATCTTAATGAAACCAGATCCAAGTGCCAGACTTCAACTAAAAATAAAAAGTTGTAATTAAAACCTAAAATTTTACGTTACTCACAGCATTTTAAATACAGTGAAACCTTTCTAAGAAGAACACCCAATTGCAGATGATTGTGGATTTCTGTTGAAGTGGTGGCTTGAAGAATATGATTACTGGTTATATTCAAGACGGACGTAACGTAAATATTGTTACGAAATGTACAGGCGTGGTAACATGGCTTCCCCGCAAAGCAGTTTTATGGTTGCCATAAAAAGGCAAGTGTAGGCAGGGTTGCCACATTTGGCGAAAAATCGCCCATTTGGTGACAAAATTGACAATATGCCATGGACAGATGGAGAACCTTCTGGAACCAATTCTTACCGGTTTAGCCCAGAACGTTCTCGAACACAAGCCGAAAGCTATATAAACCCTGATGGTCCGCAGTCAGTTAGTGTGTGTGCCTCGTCAAGAGGGCGAGAGTCAGTATCGAGTTGGTATCTCGTCTAGCGAGTCAATCCTGCGGAGTCGATCGAGTTGACAGCCGGGCAGCGAGTACTGAGTGGGTCGTCGAGTTCACTGAAGGAGTCTCTTAGTGTATCGCGGTTAGTGCATCTTCGAGAGAGCATGTTGAGCTCCGGAAACGACTGAACCGAAGAGTCAGGAGCTGTGCTCTGTGTCTCATCCAGTGCATCGCGAGTTGTGGCGTGAAGACTCTCGAGAGTACGTTGAGTTCCGAGAACGACTGAGCAGAGTCGGGAGCTGTACTTTGGTGCTTTGCAGTGAAGCTGTCTCCACCGTGATAACCTGGAGGCTGTGTTGCTGATCGTGTCAGCATGTTTATAGTAGTTCATCGACGAGTGTAAAAAGTGTTATTGGAGCTGTCCCTGATTAACATTGGCTAAATAAAGTGTGTTTCGATACTTCATCAAGTGTCGTCGTTATTCACTCCAAATCCACACGAACCCCGTAACAACTGGTGTCAGAAAAAGAAAAACGTAACAATATCATCTTAATGAATGTAAATTTTGGAAAATGCAGACTAAAATAAGTAATTATATAAACTAAATTAATAAATGCTGTTTAAATACTGGTCTTCATGACAGATCTAAAATCCTGTGCCACTCAGAGGGTTAATGTTTTCAGAAATACAGGTCATCTGGAGGAGGTGTTCACAGTGAAAGATATAATTCTAGTTTTGTTTCATATTAATCATGCCCAGTTCTTTGCTGAGAAGACAAATAAAATATATTTTGCCCAGGAATGGGCAAACTTTTTCGGTCGAGGGCCAAAAATCGAAAACAAAAAGTTTGGCAGGCAAAGATAAACTTTTCCAAAATTTTAAAAACAATATACAAATATTGCAATTTAAATATGTTAATGAGATGAATGAAATTGCGATTTCATTTTTAAAAGTTCCTCATATTGAGTTTCGAAGTGAGATGTACTGATTCTAAGGAACAAGGCTAAATGCTCATCTGTCAGTTTACTTCTGAAATAATTCTTTTCTAAGGTTCATAGTTGAAGACACTTGTTCACATACATAAGATGAAGCAAATATAGCACTGATTTTCGGGGCATGAGATATTAAATTTGGGAAACATCCTTTCAATAATGATTTATAAAACTCTGGCATATTTAGAAAAAAAAACTGCTTGAGATGATTGTTAGATTGCAACTCAATTAATTCAAGCTGCAAATCTGACCTCACTGCTTCACAATTTACGTTGAAAGGTGTGGTAAAATTATCCATTTCTGTTTGAATGGCACTGGAATCTTGAAATCTTCGTTCGAACTCAATTTTTTCAACCCATCTTCATAATTCTTAAACTATTCATTTACTGAGGGTGTTGAATTTAACCTCGGGAAATGAGACAAGTTGTTCTTAGCTAGTTGCCCAGCAAACAGAATAAGTCTTCTTATTAAGTTTCAAGTTAAGATAATTAAGTTAAGATTAAGTTTTTTCTAAGAGGTCTAATTCACCTATATTAGATTCCCATATGTCTGCTCCCCGAGAAAGAGATAACGCTTGATGGCGCCAATCTGCAGGTATAATTAATAAAGAACTCCAATTTTTAACACTTTACCGATTGAAAGCTGTCTGCGCTTGCTATTTCCGTCAATTTATGTTTTTAGAACAAAAATAAAGTAAAAAGATCATCAACCCTTTGAAAAAAAAGGAAGAAGAGAATAATATTTAAACAAAGTAGGAAAGGATATGGTATATAATATATATTTCTTTTAGTTTGCCTCGGACCGGCAAATTAAAATTCTATCCACGGAGCCAGATATAACCTTTCGGCAGGCCGTAGTTTGCCCATTTCTGGTTTAACCCTTTGAGTTCAAATACACACAGTTATTCATAATTGTATCCAAAAATTAAAAATTCATAAGAATAAACTACATAACTGATGTCGCAACAGAAGCACACTTAACATTTCTTTAACACAAGCATAAGGAAAAAGTAATGGCAACGCATCAACACTAAGAAGACACTATTACCATTACTTGCATGTATTTACAACCCCTAAGTATGATCGTCTTTCTTTCTATCATCTTATGCCAGATAACAGTGAAGCGTAGTACACCATCAGCACATTAATTTGTGTTGATGGGGCTGTATGGCGATAATCCCAAAGCTTTGTTGCGACAAAATTTGCTCATCACATCCAAGGTCAACCAGTGTGGTGACATCAATGTCTTTGGCTCGTAAATCTGAGCAGATCACAGCCAACTCTATAATGGCCTTGAAGCGCAAAAATCACGTGATTCAGATGGTCGATGTGTTTTTGTGGTAGTATGTGATTGCGAATCCATGGTCGTCAATTTTTTGGATATATATTATGCAATAGTGCTATGTAAGTGGATTATTTTGCTATTCTAAGTGATTTTAAATAACTTAAGCTTTATGCAATGGTAAATAATAGTTTTATCTATATTTCGGTTTATATCATTTTAATTTTTAGATTTGTTTGGGAAAATTTGTAGCTCTCTCAAGCCTATCCAAGTGTTTCGTTTTAGCATCGAATATATTTACTCTAGTTTTAATATTTTGAGTAGTATTAATTAGAATATTTGTTTGGACATTAGGAATTCTTTATTTTTGATTACGTCTTTCTAATAACATATTTGAAGTGTCTGGTATGCAAATGTAAGAGAATAACACTTCTCTGACTCCAATAGAACCAATATTTTATTCCTTACGATGTTATAGATTCTGATTCATAAGATTTATTTACATTTTACATGCACGTTAGCATCGCGTGATAGAAAACCGAACTCGAAGTCTGTTTACTTCGTTTTTCGCGGAGACTAGAAAGGTGTTGCCATTCCCGCTTTAAACTAAACTTAATTAGAAACTTTAACGGAAGTGAAGCGACACTACACACCCCCTTCCTAGTGACAGCGATTATGGAAGATAATCTTTAAATTGACTGGGGAACTTCACATGTCTGCCGGTTCTAGTAGTCTTGGTTTTATGATGAGTTTCTGAATTTTCTTCAGTGTTCTTGAGTGCAGGTGTTTCCCTAAGTTCCGCTTTCTTGGAATGGGAGTTTTGAAAAGGAATATCAGAATCTTGCACTAGGAAACATGGCTTTAGTCTGTCTATTGAAACTCTTTTAACTTTTCCTTGGATTTCAGTATCGAAGTACTTATCCTTTCTAGCTCTTACAGGATAGACAGGCTGTAGCGACGAATTATTAATGTTGTTGTATAGGAATACGTGAGAACAGTTGGAAAGATGTTTAGAAACAAAGACTGTTCTATTTCCATGGGTGGTGGTAGAACTTGGCTTCATAGCTCTGTATTATTTTCTGAAGGTTTTGAGAAAATTCAGACTGTTTTCATATGAGGTACTGTTGAAAAGAATTCACCAGGTAATGCTAAAGGAGTTCCGTATACAAGTTCTGCGGATGAGCAACCTAAGTCTTCCTTGATGGCAGATCTTATGCCTAAAAGAACGAAAGGCAATGCTTCCAGCCATAATTTTGATTCGAGTAGATGACATTTGAGACTTGCTTTTAAAGTTCGGTGTTGTCTTTCGGTCAGGACATTGGCCTGTGGATGGTACGCAGTTGTAGTGTTTGTATGAAAACCAAGATATTTTCCTAAAGCTTGAAAAAGTTGGCTAACAAATTGCCGACCTTGGTCAGATGTTATGCGATTCGGAATTCCAAAGCGTGAAAACCAAGTATAAATCAAAGCTTTAGCAATAGATTCTGCTGATTGATCTTCTAACGGTACCGCTTCGATCCATCGTGTATAACGATCGATGATGGTTAGAAGATATTTGAATCCTTTGCAAGGAGGTAGCGGACCCACCAGATCTATGTTTAAATGCTGGAATCTGTGTGGAGGTACTTTGAATTCTCCCAAAGATGACTGTGTATGTCTGTGAAGATCTTTGGCAAGATAAACATGCTGTAGTCCATAGTTGGCAGTCTTTATTCATATTCGACAGTTTGCAATAAATTTGAGTTTGTTTAGAAAATATTAGCTTCTTCAAATCTGGCATATTCTTTGCCACGTAACAAGTAATATGATTGGCCCAAACAATTGAGATTGGGTCAATAAATATGTATATAATTCAGAAGTCAAACAACAAAAATCAGCGTTATATTTTCAAATTTTGACAGGACTAGTTTCGATGGTTTTACCGAACCACCATCCTCAGCTGTAAAAGTGCAAATGAACGAGATAGAATATAATGATTAGATATGATAAGAAAGCCTGGACAGAAATAAGATAGTGGCGCCATCTGTTGATGAAACAGAACTAAAGCATAATTTCTTTAAAGAAAGGCCTTTAAAATTTGAAAATATAACGCTGATTTTTGTTGTTTGACTTCTGAATTAGTATTTGTTCGGCGTGTTATTGTGTCTTAAATACGTATATCATTTCTGTGGCGATATATGAAAATCTTATATCTAGGCTTAAGCCCTATGCCAGTGGCATTATGCGATACGTAAGTAAGTGAAACGTTCAAGAATCACTTATTTAAATTATATAGTATCATTTTATTTTTATTATTG